TTGTTGTATAGTTGTAAAGCCTATTTCGAGTCTTATGGAACAGGAGCGGGTCAAATATTGTACTAGTTTCCCTACAAGACATTAATTGAGCGGGAGACTTTTCCTCAAAATATAAGGTTTTCGTGTCATCCGACAGTTTACCAAGAGATTGCCGACGGTCGGGTCTTTCTGTATCCTTTCCTCGCGTAAATGGAAAAATAGTTCACTTGATTGAGTCCAAGCATCTACCAGCTTTGCTTATTAGCATTGTTCTGCTAAAAGCGCGCCACTTGGAATGGACCAATTTCTCCAAAACTTAGTGAGGTGGTTAAATCTTATCGCGTTTCTGTCTCACTAAGCTCTGGCAGTTTAATAAAGCTTTTTAAGGTACCCGTTAAATCTTGCTCGGTCTCGTTCAGAAGTGGCGTTCTGATGGCGGTTTCTGAGACTGATGAAGACAAGATGAAGAAAATAACAATATTTCCAAAGCTTGAACCATTGACTTTGACAAGTTGTGACTCAACCACACGTTTCTTATGCCCTTAACAGCCTGATCATCAAAATAGTTCTTTAATCTGAACTGTCTCTTGGAGTCTTGCATAGACGTGGCTTTTGTTTATTTTTGTGCTGTGGCAACTTGAGTGTAGAAGACTATGATTTCAAAAATCTTTCGTTTTCGAAGCGGGATTAAACAAGTTTGCTCGATTGGCACGATCTGTGACGCGGAATCGGACGATGTTGCAGCAGGTGGCTTCCGCGACCCCAGCACCACAACCAAACTCAGTAACTCCGCCAGATTGGAACCTCTTGACTCCCGAAGTGGCGGACAGTCGACATGGTCGTGGTTGCACCCCCTCCTCCGCTCGCACGCCCTCTTCACATTTCGGTGATGAACACAATATCCCATCCCCCACGCCCAAAACTCAGACCGATCTAGAAAAGGGCACTGCAGTAAGTACCAGCCCATCTCATTTAACCCACTTGCTCAACTATTTGCTGTCTCTACCCTAAACTCATTTTACACGCTTGTCCTTTCATTTTATTCACTTCGAATGCTATCAGTTTATCTCTGAATTTTTTTGCCTACAAATTCATTCAGCATTGACCCATATGTTGCTTTGCCTACCTATCTCGTAATCATCTTATCTGCCATTTTACACGCCCCTTCATCCATACCTTCAAATATTAATCCTTCCGCTTACTCGTCCATTGATATCTTTTCGACATGCACAGGTCCTATCAATCAATCCACTATCACTTTATCCATTCAACACCATACAGAAATTTATTTATTTATTCAATCGTTAGGACATTCATCTCCATATTTGGTCGTATTCCTTCTTGCATTTACTTATCTGCAGCCTCCTTATTCGGTTGCTCAATGGTGGTGAACCGACATGTCTGGTTATGCGTGTACCCATGTCTTTGCATATCTTCATGTCTTTATCCACCCACTCGTCTGGCCTTTTCCCAACGCGTCTAATCTGCCATTATATCCATCCGTGCATTCGCAAGTTCATTCTTTTATTTACCCCTATTTATTTATTCCTTCATCCGTCATGATGATTCATATTTCTCCCCCTTCATGATGCACTTGTCTATTCGACTTCTCATCCAGCCTTACATTTACCAACCATCTCAAACATTCCGGTTCCTCCCGCTTCTGCTTTCGTCTCTATAGCACTTCAGCCTTCCCTTATTTGCAACTGCATTTATTTTAGCTTACTCTTAACTCTGCCGTTCAGTTTCGCAAATGAATAATTATTCTACTTCATGTCCCTTACTTTCATGCGCGCTTTTAATCTTCGCCTGCTACCGTCTTCGGTTTTATTGTTCCTGTGAAGGCGTTCTCTACCCCTACCCAACAGACATTCGACAATGCTGTGGGAGGAATAAATACAACACAATTTCCAGCTCCCTCTAGCAGTCGATGATAGTTGGGCACTCATAGTAGCTGGATAATTTTTGACTATGCGAATCATCCTTTTGTGGATAATCCACCAGTCGTTCGAATTGTAGCTGGGCTCTCTTCATAATGAATAAAAATGAAGCATAGAATTTTTCTTGCATACCATT